CTGTCCGCTCCCGCCCGTGACAGCAGGTAAATAGAATTGGCCCGGCCCGCCAGGGTGCTTACCCTGGCAAGCCGCGTGCCAAACGTTGCCGACCCCTGGTCTACATAATCACAGTGGTCCCTTCAGTCCTTGGAATCTATGACTCAGATATAAATATACTAACTCTGACATTGTGTGCACCTTTCGTACTCTGTTTCCCATTTCTTTATTCCCTTCACACTTGTTTTCATTATCTTCCTTTTATTTGCATAGAGATTGTGATGTTGTGCAGTCTATATGGTTTTATAAAAATATAATGTAACTGGAATATGCTTCATGCAAAAGCTTTGTAAGGATACCTTACAAGAGACCTTATAATCTACGGAGTGTGATCATCCTATTTGTATAAATGTACCACTCTTGTATCTAAAACTAGAAATATGAAATATAACTCTGAGGGCCTATTGTAATTATGCAACATGTGGGCCATTAATGATGGTTTGGAATCTTAATGGTTCCTATCAACCAGGACAATTGACTGGCGCTCTGTTTGCAAGCAAGCCTTCCTGTGAGTCAGGCTGGGAGGAATGAAGGCTTGGGGTCTTACAGTGACATGTGATCATGTCACATGAACTGGAATCCATCTTTAACCTGGTGCTTTTCTAGTGAGGGGGGGTGGAAACCCAGAGAGAGACAAAGGATTCCCACCTTATGCAAAAGATATATAAAGGGGTGGAACAGAACAAAGAGGGAGAGGAGCCATCATTAAGAATCCCCTAGCTACCACCTGAGCTAGAACAAGAGCTGTACCAGGGAAAGAATTATGCCCAGGCCTGGAAGGTGTCCAACTGAGGAAAAAACTTACTGAAGCATCTCTGAGGGTGAGATTGTCTGTATTCAGTTTGATTAGACATAGATTTGCGCATTTTATTTTATTTTGCTCGGTGACTTACTTTGTTCTGTCTGTTACTACTTGGGACCACTTAAACCCTACTTTCTGTATTTAATAAAATCACTTTTTACTTATTAATTAACTCATAGTACGTATTAATACCTGGGGGAGCAAACAACTGTGCATATCTCTCTACCAGTGTTATAGAGGGCAAACGATTTATGAGTTTACCCTGTATAAGCTTTATACAGGGTAAAACTGATTGATTTGGGTTTAGACCCCATTGGGAGTTGGGCATCGGAGTTTTAAAGGCAGGAACACTTCTGTTAGCTGCTTTCAGGTAAACCTGCAGCTTTGGGGCAAGTAATTCAGACCCTGGGTCTGTGTTGGAGCAGATGGAAGTGTCTGGCTCAGCAAGACGGTGCTGGAGTCCTGAGCTGGCAGGGAAAGCAGGGATAGAAGTTGTCTTGGCACATCGGGTGGCCGCTCCCAAGGGGGTTTCTGTGATCCAACCTGTCACAGAGATTTTCTTTTCTTTCCCCACCCTCCCCATCTCTTTAGTGTGCCCCTGCCCACTCATCATCTTCCATCACCAGAATTATTTTCTCAGTCTTTGGGCTGCTATTCATGTTGAGTGAATAGCCAGGACACAGCTCACATTTTCTGCTGATTAGAGCCTCATACCTATACTGCCAAAACTTAAAGCAAATATCCTCCGTAGGCCACATCCCATGGAAACTACACTCTGGGAAAGGCTTCTGGGGTGAAATCCTGACCCCACTTAAGTCAATGGGAGTTTTGCCATAGACTTCAATGGGGTCACGTTTTCACCTCAGCACATATTTCTTTTGCATACAGGGGTTCTCTCTCCCTCAGGCGTCCTGGTTGCCATCCCTGGACTCTTGAGCTCCAGTGGTAATCTTTAAAAAGTCAGCATTTGCTGACATTTCACACAGTTACCATAGCTATTTCCTATTTCAAATACATAGGTAGTAACTGTTGTCAAATATTGACTTTGTAATGGCCATGACTGCAGTTGGAGCTTAGGATGAAGGTAAAGGTGGCCCTGGCAGTTATAGGGTATGTCTCCACCACAAACGAAGATATAAGTGTATTGCAAACCCACCGTTAGCTTTAATCCAGTTGGCATGGCTAACAACAGTTGCGAAGACGTGGCGGCAAAGACTTTATCCGGGACTATCAACTCATGTACATAACCAGAGTCCTCAGCAGGTTTGTACTGGGGCTGTCACATCTTCACTACTCTTGTTACCCATTCTAACTAGGTTAAAGCTAGCGTGAAAATGCCTACCTGTTCTACAATTACACTTCACTTGCGGTGTAGATGTACCTACAGATACAGTAGAGCCAGGAGGACATTTTGGAACATTCCAGCTCTGTTCAAGCACTGGATCCTGGTGTGGTTTAAACTTAGGCAAGTCCACAAATAGCTTTTTTAAAAATCTGAACATTTTAATTGGATTAATATGGGGCCAAATTCATGGCTAACATAAGTGGGCTCATTTCTAATGTTGTCTCTGAAGTACACATTCACAGGAAATTAATGAAATAAGAAAACAAAAATCAAGTAAGACTGGTGATCCAGTTTCCCCACAGTTCCAGCTTCATTTCAAATGCACATTAACACATTTATTTTCTTGCATATTAATATGTTAGAATTCTTTCTCCAAGTTTTTAGGAATAAAATAAAACAAACAAATAATCTGCTTTTGATAGCAAACATTTTTCAAACAGAAATACTTTACCTGCTCAATAATTTGCCTCACAGTGTTCAAACGCACCACACCAGTTGATTTCTCTGAACCTGCATCTTTGGGTTCTGTCTCTGCAATGATAACAGATTTTTTTTTCGGTTGTGAAATGAGTGTTCAAATTACCCTTCCCCCAAAATTCAATGCTGAAGAGCCAAACTGCTGAAGAAAAAGTAATGAATGACTTACTGGCAGTTTGATACAGATCAGGCAAGTCATTTGACAGCTTTTCCATCGCTAGATCTGCAATGGGGCCAAATATCACCACAGGTCTCTTAAAACCAGCTGAAGAAAAAAATATTGAGAAAGAAGGTCTTTACATATAAAATCACCATGGCAATACGTATTGAAACAAGCATGCAGAAAAGGCTCAATTTAATCTTTAAGACTAATATCCTACACACACACACACACACACACACACACACACACACACCTCTCTACCTACCTACCTACCTTTTGGTTCCCAGTGATTCATGCAGGACCCTTCCTAATGTGAAGGGACTTCATGTATGACTTACCAATGGGGAAAAGTGAGTCATTCACACACACACCCTCCACACACACAATTATAAAAAGTTGGAAGGGAGAAGAATGAAAAAAAGAAAAGCTTAGATAGTCCTTCACATTATTCAGAATCAAGAACAGCTGAGATGATTCTGCCATTTGAGCACGTATAGTACAATTTCACTAGTCTGCCCTGCAGACTGCCCTCGAAGCCACACTAAATGCCGTGAGACTACTCTTATGATTAAAGTTACAAACATGCTTAAGCATTTGCAGGATCAGAGCACTTTACAGTGGCAAAGAGATGAGAGAGTGTTGTTATTCTGAGGCCAACGCAGTAACATAATGGTCCTCGTAAGCCAGTGGGAGAAGGCCATATTGTGCTCGGTGACCCCTGAGTGTTTTTACTACTTTTTGTTCCTGTTAGCACAGTAGAACCAACACAGCACAGGAGAATGGAAACTATCCTGACTCATGCAACATCAGGAGAATTATTACGGGGACAAAAATTCTTCCCTCTGTTACATCCAGGCAACTCTATTAATAAAGGCAATGGGATTACACCAGTGTAACTGAGGACCTAATTTGCCCTAAAGAATCATTATTACAGGTGTCTATGAATGAGCCAGAAAGAACACAACTAAACTTTCATATCCCAGGTAATGTTTGCAAGGCTGGCCAAAACATACCAAAACCAAAACACATCTGTTTACTTGTGAAGTGAGCAAATTTGATGTAGAAGTAAAGAAGAGACAAACATGGACTTCCAAGAAGCAGTGTTTGCAGTGACACTTTTTAGAGCAGAAAACAGCTGCACTCAGAAGTTAGAATCTTGACCAGGAGAATAGCATGTTACCACTTTCTGTTATACTTTACATTTAGCCTAGAGCCCAAGATGGGTGGTGACACTTATTAAGTCGCCACATAAATGACAGTAAAACTTGGGCAATAACAGCAAGCTGTGAATAGGTGTTCAGTTCTGTAAAGTTTCACTCACCCTCTCGCAGCAGAACTCGCTCGTAGGCTGGGAACTTTGTGCTAACAGATGCAATCGCTGTCAGATCTTCACGACTCTTTCTCAGATTCTTTTTCATTCCAGATCGTTGGCCACGCATTCTCCAGAAATCTGCCCTGTCACTCGAGCCATCTCTTTGGGCATTCTGAACACTGGCCATCTGGTCAGCTCTGAAAGGAACAGCATGGAATCCATTTGAAAAATGCAATCAAAGGGAAAACATGCCACACTAAAGGAAGAACCTCAGCAGAATCCAGGATATGAATTTGTAAATACAGTGGACAACTCGGCAGGTAGACAATCTGTGGAGGGGTATCCAGGGACTCTTGCCATGAAGCAGGCAAAATTAATATCAGAGAGATGCTCTGACTTGCCTCAGCAGCAAGGTTTATTGTGCGTGAATCAATCCTCTGGCTGCTAAGGCAAATGACAAACGTAATGCATGCCAAGTAGCTGCTCAAGGAAAAGGTGGTGTATGTGGAGATGGAAAGAGAGGAAGCAACCCATCATGAAATGGGCAAATTGCCTAACGACCACCTCCTGTTGTCCATCATCTCTTCCTCAGATATCTTAAATTGAATCCAAAAGGTAAAGCCCCCTTGGTCAGATCAGTATAACAAGGAATAGACTAAGGTGCACCACATAGGAAAGAAAAACCAAGCAGGACCGCATGGAAGTACACTGTAAAGTCACTTTAAAAGTAACTTTAGGAACTTTTGTGTAGGAGAATTGAAGATTTTTTCTTAAAATAAAACTGCAACTATATTGAAAGTTATATCACTTAGATATGACTTTGCTGCACTCTGAAATTCTTCATTAAAAGCACATCAGATAACCAATTACTTTTTAAAATATGTCTGCATTAACTGGGTTTGTAAAAGCAAATTTAGCAAAAAAAATTCTCACAACTGTACAGTCACCCTTAGTACTTCATAGAATACAATTAAAATTGTCAAGTCACGAAAACACACTTTCCCTAAGAACATGCAGCATACAGAAAGTATTAGAGGCTTTTTCCACAACACTTATCGCTGTAATACTGGAGTGCCTCACATATGCTATTTATCTTACCCTCTCCTCTCTCATTTGAGGTAGGAAAGTATTATTCCCATTTTTCAGATGGAGAACTAAGGCATGGAAAAAGAACACACCTAGTGCAAGATCTCATAGGAAGTCTACAGCAGAGCAGGGATTAGAACCCAGATCTCACAAGTCTGAGTGCAGTATCTTCGCTACAAGGCCATCTTTGCTCAGCTGTTACCGACTAATTCCATAGTTTTAAAAGTTGATTTTACACACACTATTGTTATGAATGTGATCGCTTGAACATGGACACCATCCATCCCTCTTTTCCCCTTCTTCCTCTCCCAAATGGTTTATACAAATGGTGAATAGGGTGAGAATAAAAAGTAGGTGTGTGTGTGGGGGGGGGAATCTCTTATTTTAAACATTGGGTGGGCAGGTGGGAAATCAATGTACCTGCTTTTATTTGGAATGATGCCCTTTTCCAGTTCATTTCCAATTCTCACAGCCAGCCAGTTACCCAGTTTGCCATCGTACAGTGTATCAACTACTCGGAAGATCTCCCCTCTGGTGAATGCTAAACTCTGTGGAGATTCCTTCTCACATTCAAAGTGACTCCTTATGAAAAATGAATCCCCTCTGCCACAGGCCATTATGTCTCTATACACTGAAAGACAAGACATGACATCATTTAGTTTAACTTTGCTAAATAGATGTCCTATACCTTGCTGTGACAGTCTTCTGTGGGTGGTGTTTTACTCACCTGCACTTCAAGCCTACAACCTTAAATACTAAAACAACAAGGAGTCTGGTGGCACCTTAAAGACTAACAGATTTATTTGGGCATAAGCTTTCGTGGGTAAAAACCTCACTTCTTCAGATGCAACAGTAACTTATATACTGTAAATTAATGAAGGAGAGATTAAGCTGTTATTCTAGTCCAAAAACTTTGACATTTCTCCTCTTCATCCTCAGGGTGGGAAAGAAAAGGTGAACTGGCATGTTCCCATGCCTGCCCACCCTTTTATTCCCTAAAATCTCCCCCACCTCCCGCCCTTCATTCCATCTGATTCGCTCTGGAAATTGTCAACATCATTGCTTTAGTCAGCCAATGGAAGTAGGGTGACCAGACGAGGGGAAGAAAATATTGGGACACATGGGGGGTGGCGGGGCTGAGTCCTGCCGGCTAGCAAAAAAAACCAACAAAAAAACAAACAAACAAACAAAAACAAACAGTGTTGCCGGCGGATATTGGGACAAATTGCATCCCGACCGATCTTTGGGACAGACACTGAAATATCAGGAGGGTCCTGATTTTATCGGGATGTCTGGTCACCCTAAATGGAAGTGAGAGGTGCGTTGTACTGCAGAGCAACACAAAACTGTTTTCCCTGCCTCAGGGTTTGCATCCATAGCATTCCCAACCACTTCCAGCACAGGGAACTGGATATTTGAACTGATTCTTCATGCAGTCCTGTCAGCTTTCCCAGCTCTCTCCCTATATTTCCAATTTTAAAATAATTTGTATATTACTAAGTGTTCTAGCACATACACACGCGCGCACACACACACAGTAATATCTAAAACCAAGCAAACATTTGTATTTGCTTATTGCCTCATGGATAAAAGCCCTGCATTGCTGACAACAATCCCGCTACAGATCCCATGGCTGAAGGGGAAGGCAGCAAGGAGCAGCATCTTGGCCGCCCAAGCTACTGGGCATGGGGGACAAAAACTAAATGGCGGAGGTTCAGAGCTAGCAAGAGGTGCGTATTACAGGCTGGGTGGATGAGTAGAGCAGGGCTCTTCTTTGACCAGCTAAACGGTGAAGCGGCCAGCCCACCTCTCCTCCTCCACATGTCCAGGATGGGAGTCAGCTGGACACAAAAGCAATAATTTTCTACAATACTTAAAATGAGGGCAATTAAAAAGTGTTTTGAAAAGTGAGAAATGAGAAAGAGCATCTGTGATGTCCCCAGCAAAACACAGCTGAGTTGAAAGGCCTACTGTTCTTTTCAATGCCTATCATACTGAATCATAACAAACATTGTCACACCTTTGGTGCCAGGTGCCTACCTTCATATTTGCTCTGAGCCAAAATGGTCACAGTTTCACCTTTGGGAATTTCTAACAGGTAGAGAACAGCATCCTCCCGCACAATGCCTCTAAAATCCTGCGTGTTTACCTGATGCAAAAGAAATGTTTTAGGAAAAAGTTAGTCTAATAAAGCCCTAAAAGAGGAAAGGAAAAGGCTGTTTTATTATGGTTTTAAAAAAAAAAGTATCATCAATACAGAGGTTCATTGGCTTATGCCAATGGACATTATAGGTATGCAGAAAATGGATTACCTGTAACTACGAGTGACGTCCTGAAAGTGCCCTGCTGTTAAGGGAACTCTGTGAAGGGCTACAAAATGCCTGAACATGGGCACAGATGGCCAGGGTACATAAGAAAAGGTTCATTTCCAGGTAAGGATATATCTGTTTCCACATATTATGCTGTTCTGTAGTTAAAACCCCACGTATTCCAAGTATCGTGTTGTGCTAAGTAATCAAGGAACTTCAAGTAATCTGATGCACTGGTGTGCTCCAGATGGTTATAATTCATCACAGGATTGTACCCTAGTTTCAATATCATCCAGACACATTCTGGTCACCTAGAGTTGTGAGCACATCCCTGTGGTTGCCTCTCAACTGGACTCACCCTACCCCCTTTTCCATGTGTGTCTCAGCTGTTTATTTGGACATAGAAGTGATGTCCACTCCCTTGGACAAACTATGAGGCGCTAGGGGAAGAGCTGTACTAGAGTGCAGTGATTCCCAGTGCAAGGTCTTTGGGCCAGTCAGGGTCTATTTGCAGGAGGAAAGTTGAGAGAGAAAAATGAGACAGTGAAGGAGAATCAACACGCTTCAGAAAAGGAGTTACTATTTCAAAACCTGTTCAGGCCAGTAACCAATTAGAGAAATGAAAACCTGAGAAGCAGGGGACTAGGGGACTGAGACAGACCCCATTGAAATCAAGTTAGAATCTTTATTGACTTCAGAGTGCTTTCGGATCAGGCCCAATTGATTTAGACAGGAGAGAAAACTCAGGAGGAGGACATGATAGACAGAAAAAGGGAGAGCCACAGTCTCAGAAGAGATTTTTGGGGTAGAAAAACAACGAGGAGGGAAACCTAAGGAGTTTTGATAAAACAACATCTATCACCTTTTATTCACTAAAATGTGAGCAAAGGGAGGGAGAAAATAATCAGGTCATAGAGGGACAACAGCTAAACGATGCGTGGGAGACAGGGGAAGATACTCTGGTCTCATGCTCTGTGGTCTGTTTTCTCAGCTGGAGACTGGAAGAGTCACTAGTGAGCGTATCCACTTCCATCTTTGGGCATTTGTATTGTGTAACATTTCTACCAACTGCTTCTCCTATTGAGTCTTAATCAATTTCAACAGCAGAAGTCAACATTTAAGAATTCAGATAAAAAAAAAAATCATGCTCTAGGAACAGTGACCTTGTCCCTAGGAATAAAGTAATATGGATTTATGGTTTTTTTCATATTGATAAAGTAAAAAAAGCAAATCCTTTCACATGGTATCAAGGAACAGGCAGTTTTAGTTGCAGGGCTGAACATTTACACTGGTACCTTAAGAATCTGATCTCCTTCCTGTAGCCCCTCCTGGTCAGCTGAGGTGCCTTCTTGAATTCCAGCGACAAATATCCCTACATCATTCCCACCTGCCAGCCGCAGACCCACACTGTCTCCTTTCTTGAATTTTACCATCTTTGTATTAGGACTAGAGTATTCAAATGCAGAAAGAAAAAGCCAGGCCAAATATTATACATATGACACCCATCATTTGTAGGAAGTAAACTTAGGCATGCTTGCTGTCAATCCCCCTATGGTATTTATATGGCTCCATCACTGTACTATGTGAGCATCTATCAGTCTTTCATGTATGCCTCCTCACAATACCCCTGTGAGGTAGGGTAATGCTATTATCCCTGTTGCACAGATGGGGAACTGAGGTACAGAGAGGCTAAGTGACTTGCCCAAGGCCACAGAGAAAGTCTGTGACATAACTGGGAATTGAACCCAGGTCTCCCCAGTCCTTAGCTAGAACCCTAACCACTGGGCCATCTGCCTCACATAGAGAGCTGTTTTTAAAATATACTAGTTTAAATGAATTATGAGCAATCACACTCAGATTTTCTTCTCCTCTCTACATTATGCAGAATGCAGTGTAATACTCTACCAGGTCATTAATAGGAGAGTCAGATAACATGGAAGTCTTCAGACTTTCTTTTGTTGGCAGAGTGTCAAGAATGCCCAATTGGTAAGTTGAATCAATCCTCTCTTGTTCCAAGGAGACAGCAAGTACTGGAGTAAGTTCAGCTTTTTCTCTGCCAGAAATGCTGTATGCCTGGATGACCTTCACATACTTGGAGGACACTGCCTTTCTGTTATCGTTCACTCAACATACCAGTTAGAGCCTGTACCATAAATTCTCTTCAACTGAACCATAACTAAACACTGATATATCAATTTGTACCCATTATCCATATCTGCAATACACAGGACTTGACCCCGAGACAGCCTTTCAGAAGTTGATCAGTTCTCAGATCTTTAAACCCAACTCTCTACTGGAACTATGGAATAAACAGATCTTCAGTTCCCCTTCTTTAGGGATCACCCCTTCAATCCAAATCTCCAACTGATTTATTACTTTCTCCCCAACCCCAGCCCATTTCCCCATTTAATAATTTATGTTAAAAAAGTATCCAGGTTGTATTCCTATAAAGCACCTTAGTGATTTCAAATATTAGACTCTAGACAGTCAAAGTTCTAGAGGTCAACATTATCACATTTCACTTGAGGGTAGATTAAAAAAAATTAGGTCCTAGGTCCACAGACATTTTGTTACTGCTTTTCAGTGTGCAGATTCCACAGCTGCATACAGTACACAAACTAGGGATTGAGAAGATACACATTTAGCTGCAAAAATCTCCAGCTTGTATATACACAACTGTGGAATGGGTGTGTACAAAAGCAGGCACACACACACACACACAAAACCCCCATACCCAGACCTTAGGCCTTACTTTATGATAATCCAGCCTCTAAAGTTTTATCCTTTTCAAAGTTATCAATGCCCTTTTTATAGATTACATTTCTCTCTGCATATTAGATTTTTGGATATTAGAGACCATAGATTAAAATAGAGGAGGAGGTCCAAGGACCATGCATAAAGATACATACCTACATTTGCAAGTGCAATTGTGTTTGTGTGTGCAAATTGCAAAGGTAGGTATTTAACTAGCAATCTGCATTTACAATCAGTCTATGAAATCAGGGACTGAATATACAAATATAGGGGCATGCATTCTTGTGCATATACATTAGGCCTCCTTTTTTAAAACTAAGTTCATCCTAAATGTTGTCAGTCAGCTATTTAATACAGAACCCAAGTTATCTTTTCTTGACATAGGACTGTTTAGGGGAAAACCACTACGAATGCATGAAGAAAGCAGCCAAAGAAAACAAAAAAAGCAATATGGATAGATGGTGAGAAAAACCAGGTGTTGAAAGAAGCATACCCGTATATTGCTTCATCTTCAGGACTAGGCCGAAGAAAGGTTCTTGGGGCTACTTTTGGTTGAAATACTGTGTGTAAAAACCATAAAGTTATCTAACTGGACAAACAAGACATAAAAGAATGAAAGGTTTTTAGTTACAGGCAGCAGTTACAACAACATCCTGTATGCCAAAGAGTGCAGATCTGCAGCCTAAAGCCCAAGGCACTCTGACTGCAGTGTCCAAAAGTAAAAAGTAACTAAAGAACAAATGTCAAGGCAGTAAATTAACTTATGATTTCAGGCTCATCTCCCAATTATGTAATCCTTTTCAAATGGTTTTTTCCCCCCCTACAATTTTCTTTTTGTCAGGAATCTGTTATTCAATCTCTTGCTCCAATTGTCCTCTTTTAAGGTCTCCCCAAAGGCCAGTCAGCCTATGCCAGCCAAAAAGGCTGGATGTGAATACCCTTTGAGCCAATTTATGCCAACTGTCAATCAGCTGGGGAAGATGTGGATAAGAGATGCCTTCAGACCCTACCTTCCTGGGAGATAACAGAGCCAGGATTTTGTCAGTACAATTGTATAGATTCACTTCTGAGGACAAGAGCACTCAACCTACATTTAACCTTTGTGCTTTATCTTTAAGCTCTCTCCTGTCCTCTCTTTTCAATGGAATAAAGACTTGGTTATTTAGTTCTTTATTATAGATAAGAAGAATTGCAGGCTGCTCTGCACAGGAACTGCCATACCAGATCAGACCTGTAATCCATCTAGTCTAGCATCCCATCTCTGACAGTGGCTAGTACCAGGTGAGGAAGGTGCAAGAAATCCTGTAGTAGACAATTAAGGAATAATCTGGGGAGCCATAGGAAAAGTTTCTTCCTAAGTCCCTCCAATTCACGTTTGGCTTAATTCCTGAAGCATGAGGGTTTATACCCCTTGGAATTCCCTCCCCTCCCCCCCCCCCGCCCCTCCTCCCGCCAGCGAATGGGTTTTGTTTGGAGGAAAAAAACATCTCAAATGGGACATTTGTAGCTCTGACCTGGCGGGTCATCTTTGTACTTTGGTTCTTTGTTTGTCTCGGTGACTATGACAGCAGCAGCTATATCACTGGTTGATTTAAAAGGCGTGGGCATCGCTCCCATCCTGGACAACCTGTTGGGTGGATCCTCTTTTGTACTTAACAAAAAGAACAACAAATTGAGAACATTAAAACAAAATTTGGTACACATTAAAAATGTCTTCTTTAGTAAGAAAAAGAAGAGTAACACTTCCTACTTTGGCTTTTCCTTTAGTTTTTCATTGGAGGAATGAGAGTCGAAATCAGAGTGATGCAATTTTTGGTCATCTTGAGGGGAGCTTGATCGGTTTGACTCAATTTCAGAAATATCTATTGAGAGAACAGTACAGTAAGTCTGTTTAAGATATTGGTCTTCAATTTCATTGCACATTTATCCACATCTACTTACTTGCAATAATCTAGATAGAAAATATGAAGTATTTATAAACTATCCCCGCTCTGGAAAAAAGATTTGACTGTGGCTGGGGCTAGAAAGAGAAGTGACCTGCACCTCTCAGAGCTTCTGTCTCCCACAAAATATTTCAGGAAGGTTTTGTAACATCCAGAAAGAAATTCCAAGGAGCATCAAAAGCAAGTGTAAACTTTTCCCAACTATTATTAACATCCTACTGGTTTGAGCTCTTGCCTAGCTTTATTGTTATAGAAATAAGAGAACTATAAAATGAAGAAGAGATAGTGGTTGCGAAGAACTGAAACCGAATCTTGCATAGTAAAAGATTAAATAAAAGAAAATGGCTTGTCTGTCATTACCCTCCCCAATTTCTTCTTTGGAAGTCCAGAGGGTTCACTGTTAAACAACATGAAGCTGAGCTGTTAAATGTCCTTCAGAGAGAAAAACAATTTTCCCTGTAGCTCACAAATTCAAGCCACGACCCATTCTCAGCAGGAAAAGCTCCAAGAAGCTGCACTGAATATTCTCATACCAGAAACACACTTCCTGAATCAATTAACAGCATCATGTTTCCAGTGAAGCACCAGCACCCTTCCCAATGCAGGTTATGCTTAGAGGGACTATTCATATGAAAAAGATCCAGGAAGTTGCTTGGAGAAGGCTAAACTAAGCCCCCAGGACTGTTGATTCCATAATTCTGTCTCCTTCCCTGGAATGTTGGAAGGAGTGGAAGTGTCCTTAGAGTGAAATAAAACTGAGCTCATCCCACCATTGTCATGAATCGGGCCTTGTATTAAAATGACTTTCCTTCTGGCCATGGTGAGTTGGGCTTTGCTTTGTTTAGTCAACATTACTCATGAATCAGCTAGAAAGGTCACTGAAAGACACAAGGCCTGCTGAGTGACTGAAGGTTCTTCCTACACCAAAGGAAAAGGGTTTGCTGCTTCTTTGTCTTTCTACAGAATAGCTGCAATATAGGTACCAATCAAATATGGTACTTGCATTACCACTATCCTATGAGAAACACTTTATATAAACAGCTTCACTTTCTGTTTATACAGGGAGTAGAACTGACATTACCTTTTGGCCCTAAGACACCTCACCTTCTATTTCTGAGTCACTGTCATGCAATGAAGGGATGTTGAGCAGTGTCTGTTTTCTGTCCCTGAGGACTACCAACTGGAGTTTTCCTCGTGATTTCTCAATCAATTTTCGGGCATCAGCTAGCGACATATTCTCTGTCACTGTACCATTAATCTGTACATATAAGGCAGAAGTACTATTATAAGCAAACAATTAAGAACACAAATGGCAATAAGAAGTCATGTCAAAGATCAAATCTGCTCATCCCCTTTCCAGTGAGCAGATGTTCTAATTAGGTTTTCAAATTAAACAAAACAAAAAAACCACCTCAGCACAGAAAGAAGCATTGCAATAAATATATGCTGCTTCAGCATGCCTTTGTCCACAACACACCTTGAGTATTATGTCTCCTTCATACAGATTACCATCTTTAGTTGCCAGGCCAGTACTGGTCATTTCTTTTATGAAAATCTGACTTCCAAGTCGGAGACCATACTCTGGAAAAGGAAGAAAAAAAATCCACAGCCTGTAGTTTGGCAGAATGAGTAATTGTTTACATCTAATAATTAGGCTGTGTACACATCAACCACAATCACATGCAACACAGCACATTATAGTAAAAAGGGAATCAGGCCCCTTAAGAAGCAGAGGTAACATGGTGAGACTCAAGGACGGGACATCAGTCCTACACTGCCAACGTTCTCACATTTCACTTTTGTAAATGACAGGTTTTTGTACCTAATGGATCAGATTCTCTCCTGTGCCATATTCTGCTAGTGCAGGAGGCTGGGGAGGGCAGTGGGGGCATCTAGGGTGGCATTTATGGTTCCCCCACTCTCAAATGGTAGTGGCTCGTCATGGCACCAACTTAGGATAACTTAGCATAGCCCCTAAGAGACTACAGTATTTGAGAAGTGGAGCCATGGTCCCTCCCCTCCCCAGATACACCCCCTACATTGGGGGATAGGGAGGGAGTTGGCTCTCTGGCTTTATGCCAGTACAGTCCCATCGCCAGTGGAGTTGTCAGCAGGACAGCTGTTGCTAGATTCCTGCACAGCTCCAGCAGCATAGAGGGGCCAAAACCACTGTATTCTATTTTAAAAAGTAAAATATCTGTTTTGAAAGCAGCCTGTTCTAGAATTGTCAAATTAAGCTATTTTCCCATTTTCAACACCATCACATACAAAACAGGCTACTACAGCTCTGAATGGTCATGGTGTTTTTGTACCACCTGTTAGCTACGTACAAACTTCTTAAGCAAAGTCGTTAAACAGATTTTCTCTACATGCACAGTACGTATCTCTGTGTGCATTATCTTTACATATGGGAGCATAATTTTTTTTTTGTAAACTCGTAATGAAAGTGATCCTGTCATGTGCAAAATTAATTTTTATTTAAAAAAACAAAACATAAGCCTCCCCCTTCCACCAATGCTATTAAGATAGATGCAGTGGTGTGTTCCAGATTTAGAAGAACAGGTTTGCTCCTATGGAGAGACGATTTACAATATGCCAAGTGCTCCCACGCAGTGGATTTCTATAAATCCCAGGAAAACAGGATTTATAAAGTGAAATGCTGACACAACCCAATCTAAAGTGTAGTTTTGTGGCACGACATATGTATTTTTGTGATGCTATTAAAATCATCACACACACACACACACCCAGGCACCCTCCAATGTTTTGCTAAAAGTTTACTTTTTAATTACTCTAACGATGAATGAACTAGTTCTAGTTTGAACCAAACCCTGAGCCATTAGAGGGGCATGTATGAACCCATTTCACCCAAACTATACTTTTGTGAACCTCGCCTGCCTTCCACTAAAGCAAATAACCTAAGCCAAACCAAACACTAAAAGACAGGATGCAGCAGGTTCTCTTTAATCTGTAAGTGCCAGGTATAAATTTAACTTTGGTGTAAATTTAACCACGATCAAAGTCGTGGATTCCATCAGAACTGGAAGGGTAGTGAGCTCATAGGAGGAATGAACGAGAGTGCACAGTGACCCAGAGAGACTAGAGCAGTGGATGGTACAGGCAAGGAGGAAGTCCCATGTCCAAGGACAAAGAGTAGACGGCACCCACACACAACGGTAAGGGAGTGGAGGAGGAATGTAGGTAAGCAGTTGTACGCAGAGTATTAAAGCCACCCACCCAATAGCCAATGGAGAGAACAGCATTTTCCCCTTAAATCTATCCCTTCACCAGAAGCGTTTCTTGCCTCCCCCCCCACAGCTACCTTCATTCGGTTTGCTTTTTGTTAGGAGAACACTGATAGGTCTATCCTGTTGTCCTGGGTACTCATGTTGGCGTCGTGGTTCAAGCAAGGGGCTGTGGGAATTCAGTCTGTCTCGACTATGACTCCTTGCTTCCTGGTCGTATCTAGGGTCAGGCTGATGTCTGTGACTGTAATCCCTGGGTGGGCTGTAGTCACCAGCGGCACGTTCATAGCCATCATCCCTGTCGATGCTCCTGCCCCTGCTCCGGTCTCTTCTGCGTTCTCGGTCCAAGCTTCTCTCCCTGTCGATGCTCCTGCCCCTGCTCCGGTCTCTTCTGCGTTCTCGGTCCAAGCTTCTCTCCCTGTCGATGCTCCTGCCACGACTTCCATCCCGGCTGTAGCTGCGTTCCCTGCTGTGGTCTCTCCTGTAGTTGCGCCCTCTATCTTGATCTCTTCGGTAGCTCCTATCAGGGCTGTTTCCCCAGCTTTGACTGCGACCTCCATGGCCACTATGCCAGCTCCGATCACTATAGCCACTTCGAGCACTCCTGCCATCAAACTCTGCTGGGTCATCCAGTACATCGAAAGCTCTATCATCATGGTCAAGAGAGGGGCTTCTCCTTAGAACGGTGAGCTGCACTTTCCGTGGTCTTTTCACTACCTGTTTGTATTAAACACAAAACAAAAACAAAGAAGAGCACCTCTCTCAACATCCATTTTAAATCATATTCCAAATGCTGAAAATCTCAAATGCTAGGTCATAAAAGCAAGAGCCTCTAAGCAACTTATTGTTCAAGAAGCTTTGTTTTCAAAACACTGTGAAGTGATATGGTTAAAATTCTATGTCGGTTGTTAGAAACATCCCCTTAGTTTCATCCATCTAAACAGAGCAAGAGTGGTTTGTTTTTTTTAAAATTGCTTTAACGGCATAAGTTGATAAACAAAGTAATTTTTTTTTAAAGCTTCTAAAAACTGTGCTGTGTCCAAGCAAACAATACTCTCTACTTAAGGGAGGTAAGAAACATGTGCTCAACCTGTTTAGATGTAAACTCTTTGGAAAGGAACTGTACATTGTGTGTCTTGTACAGGGCACAGCATGTTGTCTCCATCTTAATTAATTAATTAATAAATAAATAAATAAATAAATAAATAAATAGGCAACAACAGAGACATTAACTGTGGTTGGTCATACGGTTAAGACACTGCACTAAGATTCACGAGATCTGAGCTCATTTTCCTGCTTTGCCATAGACAGGCTCCTTGTGTTACACTGGACACGTCACCTAATCCTTCCCCACTTGCTTCAGTTCTCCATCTATAAAACGCGATAATATTCTCCTCTCCCCACATACAGTTTTGGCTTTTTATTTAAATTGCAAGCTCTAAGGCATGGAAGGTTTTACTGTGTGTATGAACTAGTGTATACACCTAGCACAGCGGGTACTGATCTTGGTTGGGGTTATAGGTACACCTATAATGCAAAGAATTAGTAATTGTTAACTTACAATGGCAGCCACTTTCCCACTTTTTCTTAACTGCTGCACTGCAAAAGAATGGGGAACATTTTCCATTGGGGTCCCATTAACCATGACCACCCGGTCATTTTCTCTACAAAAGAAGTACATGATGGGTTAGCAGGGACATCCTTTAATTTTCAAATTGAATTCCACTTTTGTTCTGAATGTCCTGTGCATTCACTAACAAAAAACAGAACACAAGCTATTCTTAAAAATCCATATTAGTTTATATAAACTGGAAGAGCTTAAATAAGGCCACATGCTGAAGGCTTCTTCCAGTTTTAACAATTCATTAATTGTTGGTGGTTTTTGGTTTAAATGCCTCTATGTGTGATTGATCGATGTGCTGATTCCAGGATCGACAATAACTTACAAGACAAGGTGGGTGAGGTAAGATCTTTTATTGGACCAACTTCTGTTGGTGAGAGAGACAAGTTTTTGAGCTACACAGAACTCTTTTTGAGGTCTGGGATGGGTACTCAGACTGTCACAGCTAAATATAAGGTGGAACAGATTGGTTAGCATAAGCATATTCAGGCGAGTCTCATCTTATGCGGGGGATCCATTCCGCGGTTAGCGCGTAAAGCGAAAACCGTGTATAGTCAAAATTACATTGAGTTGAATGGCGGGCGAAATCGCCCGCACTACAGGTACAGTATTAAAATTGTTATTTTTTTCTCTTTTTTTGGTTTTGCCGACGGTGTAAAGCTGAAATCGCGCATGTTAAATGCACGTAAGATGCGACAGACCAGTATTCCAAGGGACCACTCAAGGTCAAATGGCCGTTAACACCCCTCCAGTTATAGAGGGGAAAGACGTATGTACGTACGTGTGTGTGTGTGTTATAGATTGCTGTAATAAGCCATAAATCCAGTGCGTCTATTCAGTCCATGAATACATGGCTACAACACTGTAAACAAGAACTTACAAAATCTGTTAAGGATCAATGGGTGCATTCTTTTAAACCTTGACACACATTTTAAGAATTTTACCTCCAGCAGAGGTTTCCACAGCCACATTAGAACTACAGCCTTTATTCCACCTGATGCTATAGCTTGAACTGCTATAGCCACAACATTCCACAAATGTTGTCAAGAACTGTTTGGCAAGGTAATCGTACAGTTCTCCTTCCCACTCTGGAAGAAGATTTTTCTGTTGTAAACCAACCGTGCTAGCCAAAAATCACACTCTGGACATTAACCCCTAGCTAATCTAGGTGAATATGAGCAACTAGCTAAATTTTACAGGGAAAAAAGATTAATCTCTGGGGGATGTGAACAACCTTTTTTCTATAAAATTTCTCACCACTACAACTCCACAAGTAGGTCGCCATAGCATAGATAATGCCATTGGCATTTTAACTTCTGTGTTGTCTGACCCTGGTCACAGCAATTCTAGATGATACTGTTGCTAAAACAGAGGCAGTCACTGTTGGCTGATCTACATTAGCATCCCCACATTCCTACGGCTGGTGGAGCTACACAAGCAGCATAAATAATGGAAAGTTTCAGGAAAACAGATTTAGTGCAGACAATGCCTAAATGAAGACATCATGCAATCATATTAAATGTGGAGGGAAATTGCTTCAGATATTGTTGTGTTAAGGGCCAGCATTTGAAAGCTGTCAACAAGGACACTATGTATGTGAAGAAGGCTGCCATGAGAAGTAATGTCCTGCTAAAGTTTTTTTTCTTAAAAACACACAAAGAAGACATGCCTATGTATAGAACAATACGATATACCACCATTAAAGTAGATTAACTTGTTTATGAGATAAAAAAAGAGGTATGATTTCATTTAAAATATGGACAGTTGACACACAAGTCTACAGAAAGAAACACCCTGGATCAAGTTGCTGGGGCAGGCTCTCAAATCAAACCTGCACCTTTATCTGCAAAACATTCCAGACATGGAGGATATAAGGAAGCACACTTACTGAAGTAATCCATCTGCTGGGCCACCTGGGAGGACATCTGAGATAACTATGGACGTTTCGCCATTTTCAAAATGAGGATTGTCTCTGCCACCGGAAACTGCAATCCCAAACCCTCTTTTTGAATCCTAAAAAAAAAAAAACCCACACACATACATAAACAGAACTGAACACTATTACATTTCAACATGGAGACAGAGATTATGATTAAGCCAACAGACTGTCATCACAGTAACACTCACTTTAGATAGAAAAATGCAGTTCAGATGAAGCGTTGCACAAACTAGAATGAAAAAACAATCCACAAAGTAACCAATTTGAGGTTTCCAGCGTGAAAGTCAAAAACCAAGCAGGCATGTCATCCTGTGACCAATAAAAATGATGAGAGGACTCGCTGGTTCCTGTGTGATCTCTTGTTTTTTCCCCACTAATGCTAACAATTCACACTGAATTAACTGTTGAGTAGAAAGCTGCAGTTGATTAGAATGCTCGAGACCCTGGAGCAGTTTTTCTAGCAATTAACAACTGAACATGCAACGCTATCTAAATTCTAATTACTACTTCATGAAAGGGACTATGCAAAATTGTTGCTGATAAAAAAAAGAAGAAGCTACAAATGTGTACTAAGTGTCTGGTGTCACCATCCACCACCCCCAAGCAGTGCATTAATAGATCATGAGGTATCTATGCCAAACCTGCCTCTGAAGGAAGGGTAGGCTGTCATAACATGGGGCTTTTGGAACGCTTGAATGTGAACCAGAAAAGCATATACTGGGTAGGGTTACCATATCTAATAAATAAAAAAAGAGGACCCTCCACGGGCCCTGGCCCCGCCCATTTTCCCACCGCTAGCCCCGCCCCAACTCCACCCCTTCCCCACCCTAACTCCGCCCCCTCCTCCCTCCCACTCCCAGCCACGGGGAAAGGGCTGCCCCAGCGCTACCGGCTTCAGGGTTTGCCGGGCAGCCCCCAGACCCTGCGCCCCCGGCCGGCGCTTCCCTAGCGCAGCTGGAGCCCGGGAGGGGAAGCGCCCAGCCGGGGGCGCAGGGTCTGGAGGCTGCCCAGCAAACCGTGAAGCCGGTAACGG